TGGCCAAGCAGAGAATACAGGACACATTCAGCCCATGGGACATGGATCAATTCACAGACAACCTGTCCACAACAGTGCCAACATTCAACAGCCACTTTGCAACACCAGGGACACTGGCCCACGTGATTGAGTGTGGTGCCAGGGCGATTCTGGTGGTGCCAGAGTGGCTGGTGCATGACTGGTGGCCACTGCTGTTGCAGGCCAGGCTGTTGGCGCTGCCACTGGGAGGACCAGTGGAGGCGACAGTGCCAGGCCTGTTGGGATGATTTGAGCTTAGCAAGAACCCAAGTTGGGAGTGGTGGGCCTTCCTGATTGATGGCAGGAAGGTGACTGGGTGGAGGACCTGAGGCATTTGGTGGAGGAGCTGCTCAGGCAGTCCAGGGCGCCAAGCACACTGTGGACATACAAGTGGTGGTGCAGTGACTTTGACAAGTTTGTTGCAGCCATGCCAGGTGTGGACAGCAGCCTGCTGCTGGAGAAGGTTGTGCTGTTCATGGTGGAGCTGCACTAGTGATGACAGGGCGGTGCTGTGAGGGTGGTGGCGTGTGCTGTGGCGTTCTGAGAGTTTAGGGCCAGCTGGCCAAGCCTGCTGGTGGATTGGAGGCTGGCGCTCATACTGGACACAGTCAACACCCAGTGGGTGGCAGTTGTGGAGTGCTGCATGAGAGACCTGTTCCCAGTGGAGGTAGTGTGGGCATGGGTCCAGACACATGACAGCCACTGGATGGTGCTAGCAGCAAGGGATGCAGTGTTTCTGGCCATGGGGCTGTGGGCCATGCAGTGAGCAAGTGAGCTGGCAGCTCTGTGCTGGCAAGATGTGTCACATGCAGAGGGTGGTGTGATGCAGATCTGCATTGTGCACACCAAGACTAACCAATGTGCAAAGGGGCATGATGTCTTCCTGGAGCTGACAGGTGGGTGGTGCTGCCTGGTGTGACTGCTGCTGGAGGTATATGGGCACCTGGTGGACTGCAAAGATGGCCTGCTGTTTACATCAAGGACTGGCACAGTGATGTTGTCCAGTGTGATTAGCTCAATGTGCTGATGGATGGTGGCAGCAGCCAGCATCAAGGCTATTGTTTCATTGCACTGCAGATCAGCAGAGCTACAGCAGCAATTGAGGGTGGCCTGAGCAAGGAGCAAGTCATGGCCATTGGTGGTGGGTGGAGTAGCATGGTCAAGAGCTACCAGAGGGCACAGGAGGCCACAGTGGCCAAGGCATCCAGGTCGATGGGGCTGTGAGGGGTGTGCACCTGGCCCCCCTCTCTGGTATGCACCCTGTTGGCCCACAGTGCATGATGGAGGGGAAGTGGGGGGAGACACTTTGACACACCAGCAGGTGGGCTGGGGACTGAGCCCAAGGGATATAAGAGCAGTTGGCAGCCAATAGGCCTACAATATTCTTTATCCTGAGGGCCTAGGGTCCTAGGCACGCCAAGCAGGTGTGTCAACATGTGTGGTGTTGGGGGATGCAGGATAGAGGTGGTGGGAGCAGAGGGTTATATACATTTTTCTTCTCTTGTGCATTCATACAAGTGTCTCCCACCTGCCCACCCCCATGTTTTTGGCTGTTGCTAGGTCTGGGGTGCCAAGTGCCTGGGAGCACTGGCACACCTTGCACTGGGCACAGGACCACAGACCCAGGCACTCTGGGTGGCTCTCACAGGGCTACATGGACCGAGCGGCCAGGACGGACCAGCGCGGAGGACTGGGACCGGAGGCGCTGCGGGACTGTAGCTGGAGGAGAGGAGGAGGCTCTACGCGCTTCGCGACGGGACAGCGACGAGGCTGGGCGCCGGCGGCAAGCGGAGGAGGAGGACCTAGAGAGCAGGACGAGGCGGCGATGAGGCTGGACTCCGAGGAGAGAGAGGCCCCTAGTGCGTAGACTAGGAGAGATCCGAGGGAGGGAGAGAGGAGAGAGGGGGCGCAGAGACGCGAGGATGTACTGACACACGCCGAGACTACACCCAGTTGGCCCACAGTGCGTGACGGAGGGGAAGTGGGGGGAGAAGTGCGCGTCGACACGCCGGCAGGCGGGCCGGGGACCCGAGCCCGAGGGATATAATAGATATTTATCATTTTATTCAGTAAATAATAAGTAATAAAGTCACATAATACTTCTAAATATGGATATATTTTATATATTGCGTTATATATGTTTACAGGTGCTTCAGCTCGGCGAGTAGCAGGCTGATGTCCTGGGCCCAGGAGTCGCACTCGCGCTGGCTGTTGGCCCGCCACTTGGTAGTCGTCTGGGCCGACCGGCCGGGCAGCGTACTCCGCAGCTTGAAGACCGCGTCGTCCTTCTTGGACCTGACCACCACCGTGTTGAGCAGCGATATCGCCCCCTGTGTTGAACGTGTCTAAGTACACGCCGCACAC